GACCGGGCGCAAAAGTCGCCGCGGACCACGGGGAATAGGCGGAAAACGGCTGCGGACCACGTGGAACGGGCGGAAAAATGGCCGCGGACCACGTGGAATAGGCGGAAAACGGCTGCGGACCACATGGAACGGGCGGAAAATGGCCGCGGACCACGTGGCATGGGTGGAAAATGGCTCGTAAGTCCCGGCGAATTTGGAAGTAGGGGTAAATTTTTTTGGGCGGAGCTGATCATATCTCGAAAAATTCGTAAGTAGGGGTGTTCATAAGTAGAGGTACCACTGTATAGTAAAATATGATCCACCTTTCAGAATCAGTACCATTACAGGGACAAAATCTTTGAGAGATGGTTTTTTTTTTTTAATTTGCCATATAGCATATTTGATGGCAACACATTTAATCTGGCTTCTGAATATAAGCTACTCAAATATTTAGGAAGTTGAAAAATATATCTGTAGTTAATTCCAAAAGTTACAAGTGAACTGTATATCACTTTGTTGCTTATATCACTTTGCTAACCAAACACATGGTCCTTGGGGATTAAAAATCAAAAGGAATTTGCTAGCACCTTTTCTGATCAACACATTTTATTAAAAGGCATAAGCTTTTGTGAGCTACAGCTCACTCATGATATGTGATTTAAATGGGAATGGGATGGGGAGGAAGAGGTGGAGAAGATAGGTTGTTAATGCAGATGTAGGTTACATGTGAGACAGATGAGTGCAATTATTTTCTGGCCAGTGGTTGGACAATATCTAGTCAATGACATGTTCGGTATATTCTGCCAGCCACTGTCCTAACAAGGATGGAGGGAACTGTATCTTCCCACATGTCTAAAACACACATATATCCTACAACAGGTCACCTGATCTCCCCCCACACCAAAGTGGGTGAAGCCTTAAGTTTGTTTTTTTTTCACAGCTTGTTACTAAACACAAAAAACTAGATGCTGTTCAGAATAGGATGGATCAGCTGAAGGCTCTTTACATTCTGGGCTTGGAATGAGGTAAGACCAATGTGATATGATCAAGTAAGAGAACTGGCACTGTCAGGGAGTTCTGGTGCAGGTGAAGAAAGAGCCAGTCCAAGAAGTAAATATAATTGTAAAGTGAAGTAGAGATTTTTTAAGAAATTGAATATAATCTATGCGTTCATCTAACCTTCAACTGGCTGAAATGTTGCATCACAGGGCAACGATTTTTGAAGCAAGGCACCTCAAATGGGTTAACTTAAATAACGTGTCCAAAATCTGAGACCCATGGCTCCCATGGAATTGAAATTTCAAGGATCTTCAGACCAGTCGTATTGGGAAATTTGTGGCCGCTGCAGAGCCACCGTGGCTATGTGGTTGTGATTTCCGATGCTCCCTGCCAGCTTAATCGTTAATCGTTCCCGCTCCCACTGCTTTTTTGCCTGCTGGTGGTCATTCTATTGATCTCTTTAGGTAAGTAAATATTGACAAAGGAGGAACCAGCAAGTTGTAGGTGGTCTAGTTTGCTTTTAAACTTTAGACCAGAAATTCTATTTCTTGAAGGTGAACTCCACCCTCTAATTTCCTCAATGTTTGCCTTTATTCTGCCTGTGAAGAATACCTTGCTACAACACTACAATGTCTGACTGATATTTTCAGCCTGGAAAATGCTACTATATAACATGATGAAGAAAGGGTAATAATTCTTATCTTCACCATAAAAATTATCTGAACTTAAAAGAAAACCTAAAACAGAGAAAGTTTATTGAAGAATGTTGCACTATTCAAGTATGGCTCAGCATGGGTTCATTCTCCCTAAACGGGATCAGCATGACGGTTTAGATGCTAATGTTACATTTGTAGAAGATGACATTTGCCAAAATATATTTTTTCAAGCCATGCGCTTAAGACATTGTAACTGCAGCTTCTTAAAAAATGAAATAACTGTAATTCCTGCATAGAAAGCCAAATCTAAATGCCCAGCTAAAAGCACACAAATGTGATTTCCAAAACCTTGCAGGTTGCCTGTAAGTAAAAATATTTTTAATATACTCGCCAAGGACAACATATTAGGAAACACTTCTATAATTTTACTAGGATTTCCCCCATATTTTAACTGTATTTGTGTGTAATACATCCTCTCATCTTGGGTCAGAACACATCTGAGAGAGAAAATTAAAACAAATTATGGAGCTAGTGTGGAAAAGTGAACTCACCACCTGCATTGAGCAGGTATTTTTTTCTTCCTGGGGTCCAGGTTTTGGTGCTGCTTGGGGTTAAAACAGCCCCACCCACTCCTGGAGTGGAGAGTTCCTTTTCAAAACAGGGAACTAAAGAGAAAAGAGTCAAGCCCAGAAGACAGTAAAGATGCCAGAAGGAGAATTCCAACCCAAAGTCTTCAGACAGCAAGATAAAACTGCAATTTTTGGAGCTGCAAGACCACTGAGAGGCAGAACTGAGAGATGGGGGAGGAAGAGACTTTGACCAGAGTCTGCAAACCAAGCCAAGCCCACTGTACCCCACCCCACAGGTGCACAGCTCTACAAACTAGCTCCAGAAACACAACTGTGAGTGCCTGGCGCGGGGGAGAAAAGCCCACTCGCAAGTCTATAAAGGAGTGAAAAGGACTGTGGAGTCCTTGGTCTTCTCTAAGCTTGGTTGTTTTCTTGCAGATGTTTGGTTACCTGACTAGGTAACAGGTTTGTTACCTGGCCGGGTAACGAAACATCTGCAAGGAAACAACCAAGCTCAGAGAAGACCGAGGACCCCACAGTTCAATCCTGAGCTACCGATACTCTCTTCTGTTGGAGTGAAAAGGGTTTTCACGTGCAAATGGACTGAGATTGGCTACAGGAGCTGAAGCCCTGGGGGAAAGGAAAGATTTAAAGAAGAAATAGTTAAGGTAAGAAAAACATAGTGCTAACATAGGAATAGGAACAGAGAAATAGAATATATAGAAATTTCTAGATTAAATAAGAATAGAAATAGAATAGTTGTAAACTTAATAGGAAGATAGTAGAATAAGATAGGAATTTAATTTTGTACAGTAAAACAGTTCTGGGAAAAAACAGTCTTTGTGTCTCTTTTCTGTACCATATTAATAAAAACCCTAACAGGTAGGTTACAGAAGTAAGGGTTAAGTCAGTTTGGATGGAAGGAAGAATGAAATGCTAGTCTCCTTGTAAGGTAAGATAGATGTTATATCTACTCTCAGTGGCTCTGTTTTAAGGACATAGATAATAAACCATGGTTTATTCAATCAGCCACAATTGGGGGGCAGGGGGTTGCACAACACAATGAACTGTAAACTAATGACCTGGGCTAGATTTGGACAGATGTTAGGTTAAAATGTTTTTGGCTTGTTTATAATTCAGCACTTAGTATTGTATAAACACAGCCATATTTGGATAAGGAAGGTGAGAATTTTCCAGAGTGCTATTGAAGCTTACACAGTATTAACCAAAGTTATTCGCATCACTTCTGCACTTGACACACTAAGCTGTAATGGAAATGAGGTCAATGACAGCAGTACAGCCTGACCGTAGATGAGAGCATGTACGATTTACAGTAATGATTATTTATCACAATAAGCAAAATAATTTCCTACACCTAAGAAGTTAGATGTCAGAGGAAAAGATTCTGGCCCTGCCTCCAACACCATTCTCACTTTCTATGTGGAAATGATATGTATGTATGTATGTATGTATGTATGTAAGATCTGCATCTTTCATCTGAAGCGGTGCAGGTCAGACAAACAGCATAGCTCTTTTCTAGAAGGGATCTAGAAGCCTTTCACAGAAAGCCAAGCCACAATATTGTTTTGTCTGTTCAGTAAACCCAGCCACCATCTTTCATAAATCATGGTTTATGGTTTGCCCAGCTAGGGGGCAGTGCTGGCTAGTTTTGATCCTGGCTAATTTTGAAAAGCAAAATGGGGTTGGGAGTTCTCAGATGAGATGAAGACCGGTAGGGAATCCCAGGGTTTTAAGGTAGCCTAGGAAGTTGAAAAACCATCTGCAAGGACAGCTATGGCCGAAGATTGTCATAATCTGGGCCAAGTTACCCCTACACGTTCCGTTCCGTAGGAAGAGAGCCCTGTTAACCTAGTTGGAAAAGCTGCCGCCCGATTCTTCCTGATTGTTTTTGCTTCCTGTGTTTGGGATCCTTCAGATGCGGGTGGATTTCTCAGGAGGGTTGAATGTTGCAGTTTCTGCCCCTTAAGCATCCACGAAATCCCCTCCTTCCAAAGGTGAAGTACAGCAACCCGAAAGGAGGAAATCAAACCTCCTTCCCTCACCCCGGAGCTGAATCCCCAGCATTTCTACCTGCTCTGCAGCTAATCAAACAGCACGAAGTAGAAACTCACCTGTCTTAAGCCGAATTCAGTCTGGAGGCAAGACAAGGCGCCAGAAAAAAAACTGGGAACAAAAATGAAATCCCTAAGCTATCTGTTGCCCGTGGCTAAAACACGAGCTTTCCACTCAGACCTGAAAGGGGGGGGAGGGATTATATAGCCCAGGCTGGCAGCCGAGGGGAAGGGCAGCCGCCCAGAGAAGAGGCAAACGCGCTCTGCAGGAGCTCAGAGGCACCCTCCTCTTCCCGCACCCCTAGCGCAGAAGTGGAGCCCCGGGGTCCGAAGGAAGCCGTTCGCGCTCGCCCAGCGCCGCCTCCTCTGTCCCCGCTTGCAGCCCCGGCGAGACCCGAGCCGGGCGGTG